AGAATTCCCCAGCCAGCCCTGCTGGCTGGGGAATTCTGGGAGTTGAAATCCACCCATCTTAAAGTTCCCAAGGTTGAGAAACACTGGTATAGAGTATTAGTTAGATCAAAAAAAAGGATGCAGCATAATTCTTCCCTGACCTTGCAGAGGAGGGTCTCAATTACCCATTGAGTCTTTGAGATGCACACGAAAATTATTTTCCATTAGTTAACATTATATTAGCATTTCTTAATTATTCCTCAGTGCATTAAGCTAACAGTAATAGATTAGGGAATTTAAGATCTTACTTCCAGTATGGTTTTGCTATCATTACTAAAGCAACTCGGAATGCTCTCTGCATCCCATAAAGGATTTTTTTCTTTTCTTTTTGGTCATCTGTTATGATTAGACATTGAGTTCAAATGGTTATATTTCTAGTTATATATAGCAAACTTTTTCTAGCTGTCTGTGTCCTTGGAATAAGATGCTGAGGGCTGCTCTCCTGGATGAAAAGTTGGTGAGGTTAGGAAAAAAAATAATGTTCATTTAATGCCAGCTAACTTTCTTTCTATCACACTGGAAGTTCTAATTCGATGGCGACTTTTGAAGGAGTTCTGAATGGCCACCAGCAATAATGTAGCTCCAGGTTGTATATCTCTAACATCTGTAAATCTAGGCAGAATATTCTTTTTAAAAAATTAGAAACAAAACCTTTCATTCTTCCCAGCCGTACTCTTGGTAAGTTCATGGAAGTTTTAGATTTTTTTTTTTAAAAAATCTGTTATCGTGGAGTGTTTCATTTGGTACCTTCAGATTAATAGTTTTTTTTAAAAAAAATATTTGCTTCACCATTGTTAAACCCAATTTATATTCCTTTTGGATGTGACTCTTAGCATGTGTATCTTATTTTTTTTATATGAACTTTATTAAGTTATGAAAAAGCATAAAGGTAAAAGACAACAAGGACTAATAAGGAAAAAAGTGGAAAACAAGAGAGTTAGAGGAAGAATACAAAAGTGGCAAGGAAAGAAAAGGAAAAGAAAAAGAATTACAAAAAGTATGTGTATATTTGTGATGCTCTGTGTTCTTGATTTGCAACACGTTAGGTTGATTTCCAAAATGTATAATAGGCCTGGAGGCTGGTGTGAGGTGTGCTGTCCATTAAGGGTGTGCTGTTCTGTGCACAGCACCCAGGATGGCTTGTCAAAGCTTGGTTTGTGAAAGGGGTCTGTCTCCATTTCTTCTTTTGCAGGCATGGCTGGAAGTATGGCGACGCTCCTCCACGATGGTGTCATGAATCCAGCAGAAGGTAATGCGGTTTGGGGCAAGTGGTCCAGTGAGGCTGAGAGGAGGGAAGGATAATTAAAAGTGATCTGAGATAGGCATGATATTGCTCATCAGGGACCCATGTCAGAGGTCAGAAGATACAAAGATAATCGATGGACAGAATATACTTTAAGATCACAGGATTATAAGAAGAGTATAGCAGAAGAAGTCCCTTCTGGAGATCTCTGATATAATTAAGGAGAGAACGTTTTAGTCAAAGTTTCTCCTCTTCCTTTCCAAGGACAACTCTTTGCTCTGTGAAAGGAGGTGTATAATGTCCTTGCGATATGGCAGTGGGGAAAGCATTCCTGCTAATCAGGCTGCAGCCCTAAAGATAGGTAACGTTCTCTGTCTTCTGCTTGGAAAAAACTTGGCTGGGTGCAGAGTGAGTAAGCAAGTGATGAATCACATTGCTGCAACTTCCTTGCCTGCCCTGCTCCCATTGCCGTTGATGAATGGGTACCTTCCACTCAAGTGTGTGACCTTGACCTAACTTGGATTTCTTTTGCTGTTTGTTGTCTCTTTGTTATTCCTTTGCTCTGCTTTCCTTTTCCATCCGGGGACGTGCCCAATGTCTGACCGCCCTGGTGCCAGTGGTGAAGCAGCGCATGCAGATGTACAATTCTCCACATAAGACAGTCATGGAGTGCATCAGGACAGTGCATCGGACTGAAGGCTTGGGCGCCTTTTACCGTAGCTACACCACCCAGCTCACCATGAATGTCCCTTTCCAAGCCATCCACTTTATCACCTATGAGTTCATGCAGGAGCAGATTAATCCCCAGCGACAATACAACCCTCGCTCGCACATTGTTTCGGGGGCTGTGGCAGGAGCAGTGGCAGCAGCAGCTACGACCCCCTTAGACGTCTGCAAGACCTTGCTCAACACTCAGGAGAACATGGTGTTGAGTTCTGTGAATATTAGTGGGCACCTCTCTGGCATGGCCAACGCCTTTAGAACAGTGTATCAACTGGGAGGTGTCCCTGGGTATTTTAAGGGAGTCCAAGCCCGCGTGATATACCAGATGCCTTCAACTGCCATCGCGTGGTCTGTCTACGAATTTTTCAAGTATATCCTTACCAAGCGCCAGTTGGAGAAAGGAGCTCCTTGTTGATGGATCATCTGTAGCAACCGCAGTCTGGAATCTCTGAGAAAGCTCTTGGCCTCTCTCTGTATAAACTTCACCAGGTTCCTTCTGACAATTTGTAAAAAATGGCTGGTGGATTCCTGACTGGATTATGTGTGTGTGTGTTTGTGTGTGCGCGCAAAACTCTCTGCTTTTGAGATACTAGAGGAGGTGGTTCTCTACCCTTCCTTCCCCTGCTTTTGCTAAATCAAAATGTTTATTCTTTTAGACACGTATTTATAGTTTTCTAGGGTGTGGATAGCTGCGATAAGATTTGTACAAGTTTGTACTTACTTCCTCACTGGAACACTTAGGGGGTCTAACCTGGAGGGGGGTTGCATAGGGGGAAGACGAATGCTTGTGGCTTGGACTGCTCTTCCTTTTATAAGCAAAAGGCAAGGCCTTTAAACTGAACAGAGTTCTATATAGAGACATTATGTGATGGGTAAAATAGATGGATAATGTTTATCCTTTATTTTTATATTTTTTTTAAAGAAAAAATTGTGCCAGGATGAATGTTTTGTGAAATTGAAAGGGCTTTACTGTTTTGTTCTGTTGCGAGAAGCATTTTCCTTCTAAAGTAGATTGGCTCCAAGCACATCTGGTCTGGTATTATAGTGGCTGTTAATATATTTTTTTTTTCCTCCCAGTGTACTTGAAGGGATTTCAGACCAGGGGTGTCTGTGTGGGCGGGGTGGG